GTCTTCTGCCCCCGGGGCTTCCTTTGAAACTTTACAGGAGCCCAGAAGCAAAATTCTTGGACCTCCGATCTGCAGGGCGCCCCGGTTTAGGCCCTGACTAAACCTGGCCACCGTCTCTTTGCTTTGCTTTGGGATTCGCTATCGTGGTTTGGGGAGTTTTTCCTCCAATTTAATTGGGAGTGCCTGGGGGTGGCGGTTAAGGAGCTGACCTCTTCCCATCCTCAACGGATCCAAGAGGAATGTGCCCTGTCTTTGCAGGCAGAGCAGGGCTAATATAAGTGGGAATCCTGTTGCTGACTCTGGTTCCTCTTGATGTTTTGGGCTGCAACTCCAACTGGAGATTACAAAGCTTGTAGTCCAAAATATCAAGAGAGAGCGTCAAGGGTTAATTAACGGGACCTGCTCTCTGATTTGCTGGGCACCAGTAGGGTGGTTCAGTAAGGCTCTGGATTCCCTAGTAGCTGTCCAGGGTTTCAAGGCAACATCCTCAAGGCTTGAACTTAATGCGTCCAGCCATGCACCTGCTATGCCCATGCGCACTCCAGAGGTGCAATGTCAGAGCATGCAAACTCCAGCCATTTTGTACTTGCATTATGACATTTCACACCAATACATAAAGCACAAAACTTGCATTGTGATATTAAGATAGATGTTTCATCATTTTGAAGAAATTGCAGGTGGCTGCAAACACCCATAACTCTGCATTGTGTTACCACCTAAATCACAACTCAGGCCTACACCAGCTTGGTTCTGTCTAGATGTTTTTGGAATGAAATTCATGTACTCCCTATCTAGCGGCCTATGAAGTGAGTCCACGTGTGTTCTCATCTCTTATATTTAGAAAGAGAGATTTCTCTAATCAGAAATGCAACAGTTGATGGGAAAGAAAATGCAACAGTTGATGGGAGGCCAGCAGGTCATCCTGAATTGCCAAGAACATCTTATTTGAGTTAGGAAGTGTTGTGCCATCCCAACAGTGCAGAGCACTTCTCTGCCCTGCCCTGAGTCCAGGTACCTGGGTTGTAAATCTTAGTTTACAATCTGAAAGCTTGAGACCAGATTGGATAATGTCAGCTGAATCGACATGACAAATATTTGAATATTATAATGTGATTCTTGATCGAAAACAAAACTGATGGACTTGTTTGTATGCAGGACACTTGTTTTATATGAGATGTGTCAATGGAACATTCTGTGCTATTGGAAAGTAGCTTAGAATAGCCTTTCCCATCTGATATTCTCCATCTGTATAGTTGCTACAAGACTTACTGGTTCTGCTGACCAAAAATTATAATCTACACAACTGGAGGGCATCTGTTGAAGAAAGTTGGCTTTAAAGAAATTATCTTGCTTGCCAATGGTTTTGCAGTAGTGTGGTTTTATGCAAGTAGGCTTGTGTGTCATCTGTGATCTTCAGGCTTAAGATACTGGTGTCCAACCTGCTTTATGTAATCCACTGTCGATCGCTTGCATGATGTGATGCAGTGATACATCAGTGGCGGGGGTGACTTTTCCAAAGTTATCATTGATTCTGGATTTCCAATTGATTTCAGGAATTTAGCAGCTTTGGGTAAAGAATTTAGTAGGTACCTATGATACTTCAATTTTGCATGTTTAAGGAAACCAGTGAGATTTGTTATGTATTTGTGCTGCCTTTTGTAGGATATTAAGGCCTCCGATAGCCATGTATTTGTGATGCAAATGGATCTGCCTCAAATTCTCCCAGTTGGTATTTTGTCTTTGAGATAACTATTATTGCAGGGGTTCTCAAAAAGTATGACACAACCCTCCAGGGCTTTTGAGCAACTTGGAGAAGGACTTTTTTTTTTTTTTAAATGCCTTGCAATGACATAGCAGTTGTACTTTTGAGTATTACTAAGCTTACAAATTGTTTTCCACTTGCTTTCTTTTCCTATGAACACTAATTGTATTGCATTGTTCACATGATTACTTATAGTAGCATTATTTTGAAATGAAAATAAATGCATGTTTTAAATGCATGTCTTAAAAAAGTTTATCCATTAAAATTGCAAAAAAAATTGTAATTTTTTGGTAATTTATTTTGAGTAAAATATATCATAATTCATGAACCAGGGTTTATAATGCAGTTGAAATTGACATCATTTCTGTACTCAGCAGAACCCGTAGTTGGGTTCAGCTTCTCTCAGGGTCTAGCATCTCCACCTACCTAGTGTGAAGTAGGATATCTATAGTCTTTGGACTATCTGTAGAAGGTAATGTGTTAGTAAAGCTCAGTATTTTTAACTTCTATTATAATACTGTGAGGTTATACCATTATTGTATTTGATATACAAATTAAAATGGAATTATTAAAAGAAAGTGGCGTTCTTAAAGCCAGTGAAATAATTGATTTTATTTGGGGGGGTGAAATGCAAATTCATTTATCACTTTAGGGAGATACAGATGAGAATATTTGTTTCAGAATGCTATATGAGAGCTTCAGAATGGGCATGGTCCTTCTGTCTTTCACTGTTAATTGTTGTTGGTGCTATTCATATATTAAAGTGACTTCAGTCAATGCCCAAGAACTCTGTTTGGCCTCAACTCTGCTGATTTTTACGAAGGCACTTCACCTGCAGGCTCTAAGTTAGGATGGTGTGTGACTTCTCTAATCAATGTGTAAGGTGTAGTTGATCTTATTCTGTTCTTCCTCCTTAGTACAATGGTCTTTGAATTTTTTTTCCTGTTTTTAACCTTTTAGCGAGTGAGCCACCTTAGGAATTGATCAGATTAACAAGTAAATAGAAGCCTGTTACTATACCGTGCTTAATAAAGAATTGGCAGGAAAGAAATGGGTTTGTCATGATTCGTAGTAATTCTTCACTTCTCTTGCACATACTAGCTTGAATGTTGATACAGAAAAATCAAAGATGTGGAAACAATTCAAAGTCAAAACATTTTGAGCTTTAAACAGCTGTTTTGAGTAGTTCATGCTCCCCCCCCCCCAAAAGCACACTTTCGTGACTTTTGCTTTGATAGTGAAAGAAGATGTTTCTATTTCAAGTGGAAGTGTTTCAAGTGTTCCATGTTGCTTTAGGAGGTTGTAATGCCTCTTGCATTATACTGCATTCTTTGGAGTTTTCCTCTCTGGCCTAACCCCGTAGGACTAGTCAATCCCCTGTTGCATTGCTTTAGGCTATGTGGAGGGGACCTGGAGGTGATTTTTGGAGTGGCATTTTAAGGAACATGTGGCACAGTGAAAGTGCCATTCTGGATCTGTCCATCTCTCTTGCCACCATTGTGCCATTACTTGAATACCCAGAAAACGTGTCTCTGTCTGTCTATGTGAATATAAATATATACACATTCCTGCAGGTAGAATGTAAATGCAGGAAGTATAACATTTGTTTGAGTGGCCTGTGGAGCTTAGGTGGTGTCTGTGTATACTCAGGTCCTGTTGATGTTGCAGTATAGTTCAGTACCTTTAAAAATGCACTGAGTCTTCATCCTCAAAGGCACTCTGAAAGCTTCACAATCATCAGGACAAAAGAGCGTGTATAGTGTGCATACACACACCTAAGCTTAGCAAACCAGTAAGGTAGCGCCTCTTCTAAAAGTTTGCTATGCTGATGGCTTTGGTTGGTTGGTTGCTTGAAGGAGGGCTCCTCTGGGGTTTTTGGGCTCGAGGGGATTTGAGAAAACAAAAAGAGTCATTTGGGTTGATTGGCTTGTTGAGCTTTTTGGTATTCATTGTTGCATTGACTTTTGTCCTTCTGTTTGTGGAAATTACAGAATGCATTTGAAAATGCAAAAAGTATCTGGTTGGCCTGCTAAGCTTGGTGGATGTATGCGTGCACTCTATTCACATTCCTGTGTGCTGTTGATGTAGTTCTTGGGACTTTCTTCTTCTTGGGTAATTTCTTGCAAAAGTATATTTTAACTTGTTGATTTGACCTCTTTGCTGCCACTCATCATCCCATTAGCATTTCAAGTGTAAGAAGAATATTTGCTTTGCTGAACAAGATTATATGCATGACTCATGATTAGTTTTTTGTTCTGTGTGCTATTGAGCACATAAATATAATTTATATTTAGGATGTACAAGGCAAGGAGGGATTTTTAATTTTCCAGAATAAAGCTTCTGTCCTGGGCATCAGCTCACTCTTTCTTTGTTTTCACTAATATTCTCATACTGTTAGGAGTAAGCTACACCTTCCTCTCTTCCCCTCCCCTCCCCCCCCCCCCCCCCCCCCCCCCCCCCCTCCCCCCCCCTCCCCTCTCTTCCCTTCTTACAACCAACCAAGGCCAGGCTGCCAAAGAGGAAGAAGTAAGTTGGAGGCTGGGGGGAGAGCAATCTGAACTTGTAAATATTGGGGTAGAAAGAGGCAGTCCATGTTCCTGATTGTTTGCAAAGTTAGGTTTTGGCATGCAAAGAGCTTTATTTTTAAAACATTTTGTAAATAAATCACATTTGTCATCTGACTGGAATTCATTTTCTGTCAGGATGTCTTCCTGTCCTGGGGGAGGTAATTGATTTGAAATGGGTATGTGAGAGATTAAGATCTCTGTGTTCTTTAAAAAGCAAATGCAAAGAACCACCCTAGTATTTTCTCTTTTTATGTTTCTTTCATTAGCTTTCCTTAGGCAAGGGAAGAAGGATACTTTTCTAATTGAATTTAAGAAAGGTAGCATAGGAGGTCAGTGAAGCCATAATGGGAGTGTTCCTTTACTTTTTTTCCTCTGCCAATCTTTCTGCAAAATGGCTTGCTGGTAGCACTCAGTATGAACTGCTACCCTCTCTGTTTCTATTCCAGAGATGAAAAAGTAGAGAACAAACCCCTTTTTCTGTGTACTCATTGTTTCCTACTGCTGAAATGTTT